TGCTTGTGCTCTGCCACCGCGGCTGGCCTGTTGCATGTGTCCTTGGCTTAGTTAGGTAGCTTAGTTAGGGCAGGAGCGTAGACTGTGGTCCAGGAGGATGCACTCATTTTCAGCTGCCCTTCCATTCACGTTGGGAAATGTCACGGGGCAGAAGTGCTCCAGGCCATGCAAATCTCCAGCAGGTCTGGGACTCTGCCTGTGGGCATGGCAGGGCTGAGGGAGGACCCAGGGGTGGGAGAGCAGGGATCCCCAAACCAGGCCCATGTCCCTGGAGTAACTGGAGGACTTGAGGAGCTGGCAGAGGGAGGCCTGACGTATAAGCTTTCCCTTGACAGTGAACATAATAGGCACCTCTATAGCACTGTGCCTCTCTGGTGCATGGGACAGCCATGCCTGCCTTGCTAAGGAGGCATGGGGGGGGGGGTGAGAATTAATTAGCTAAGCAAGGCTTGTTATTTCCCACTTTGCAAAATGGGAAGTGGTGCAAAAAGAGAAAGGAAGCGACTTGCCCAAGAATAAGCAAGCCAGTTATGCTAAGGAGTTAGGACTGAGGCACTTAGACCTGTGCCCAGAAGAAACCTCTCCAGATCCCACCCTGATTTATTTTGGGCCATTTGGTCTGCTTTTGTCTCCTGTGCTTTGCGGGCATTACCAGACCTCTGAGCAAGGCACCAGTCACCCAGCCCAGGAACGCTGATGGGAAAGACAAGCCTGGGCTTTGGAAGTAGTTACATATTTTTTCTACATACAATGTCTTGTCAACAAAACAGTTACTTTACATGGGCGTACACACACGCTTGCACACACGCATGCAAACCTGTTTGCTTAGGAAATGTTCCTGGCAAATTCTGGATTATTTTTCTCTGCAAACAATTCAACAGCTTGTTCTCGGGGAAGAAGAATGAATTTCTCAGAGGCCACGGTTGCTGCCAGGCCCCTACAGGCACCTTTCCCCTCTGCCAAGGAGCAGGATTTTGCTTTCACGTGTTCAGAGACCAAGCTGCTGCAGGGAGATCAGCGGTGTGTATGTGCAGGGCCGGCGTGGCTGCCACCACTGTTGTGACAGCACGTTGCAGTTGCTTGAGCCCAAGGCCTGCCGGATAAGGAGCAGCTCTGATAAACAGCCCTCCTATTTCTAGCACTAGCACGCGTCCCAATTTGGACCCCTGCTATTCGGTCACCTGTAACAGCTTCCAAGTTAATCCAGAGGCATGCACAGAGTTTAGCCAAGGATCAGCCATTAATGGCTAAGGTATTTCAGAAAACAAGTGAGGAATGCCCTTGGAATGAGTCTCCCGGCAGCCTGGAGGATACACAATCCAGTTTAGGTCACTTTGGACCGGGCTGTGTGTTCACACCAGGTGAGTAAGACACCGCTGTGCAGAGCCTGCATCACGTAGGTCTCATTTATGTCCTGCTTGAAGGGTGTGAGCAATGCCTGGGCACTTTGCACAGAGGTTGCTTTTCCCTTATCAGGACCCTCAGCTTGTCAAAGAAGTGACTTGCTGCGAATTCAGAGGTGCGCTGTTCATCGTCCTTGCGGTTGCGTAGTGGAGCTGCAAGTCTGAGCTGCTTCAGCTTCTCCCCCCGCACGCCACCCCTGGCGTGAGTGCCCCAGGCAAACACAGGGGAGGGGAGGGGGCTCGGGGCAGGTTTGTGCACGCATGGTGAAACCACTGCGTTCCAGCAGCCTGGCAGGAGCGAAGTGTCCTTTCCTTTCCTGAGAGCAGAGCTCTTTCTGTTGCAGCATTTGCAAGTCGTTCAAGTCACCAGCAAAACTTTCCGTGTTTAGTCTGGGCGGCTCCTCTCCGGCTTTGGGAATGGGATATGGATATTGCGTTGCCTGGTCACTGTGGCCTGCAGTCCACTCTGGGCTGGTGTTCACCCAGTACAATGGCAAGGGGACCTTGTTCTTGTAGAGTGCTGTACCTTGGTGCGGGGCAGGATCTCAATGCGCCCTGTAATACAGCTGTCCATCGCTGCCCCATCGAATGTATGGGGAAATGGTTAGTTTTCTGTTGCCTCATGCTGGACTAGACTTCAGCAGCAGTAGTTTCCCCCCCACCCCGTCTCAACAATTTCTATGAAAACCGAGCTCCTGACAAACAACACGTTTCACGCAAGCACACATTTGTTTTCAAAGACAAGGTTCATGGCAAACCAGATTATTTTTCTCTGTAAACAGTTCAACAGCTTGTTTTCAGGGCCGTGGAAGTGAATTTCTCAGAGGCCACGGCTGTTGTCAGTCCTCTGACCTTCCCAGCCATCTTCCACCTCTGCCAAGGAGTGAGACTTTGCTTGCACGTGTTTGGAGACCAAGCCAAGATCAGCTGTCCGAACGGAGAGTGTCGTTCATGAGCAGCTGATGGGGCTGCTGCCACCGTGGCGAGCACACGTCCTCAGTTGAAAGCAAGGCCTGCCCGATGAGAAGGAGCCACTGTGATAACCTATTTCTAGTCCCTGCACATGTCCCAAGCTGGACCCTGGCTAATTTTGTCACCTGTAACAGCGTCCAAATTAAACTGTGGGCCAGGATCACGCATGCCTGCAAACAGCCAGCAAACGGGTAAAGTATGCAGGAAAACAAGTGGGAAATGCCCTTGAAATGCATCTCTTGGCAGCCTTGACCGTACACAGCTAGTTCTAAGGTGGGCTAAGCCGCATCGTGTGTTCGCACTGTCCGCTCTGCATTGCTTGAGTCTGATTTCAAACCTTGCTTGAAAGGCATGAGCGATGCCTCGTGCCAGCCACTTTGCACAGAGGCTGCTTTTCCCTCATTGGCACCCACAGCCTGTCAGAGCAATGACTTGCTGGGAATTCAGAGGTTCATTGTTCATCATCCTTGCAGACGCTCAGTGGAGCTGCAAGTCTGAGCTGCTTCAGCTTCTCTCCCCCCACCAGCCACCCCTGGCCTGAGTGCTCCAGGCAAACAGTGGAGGGGAGAGGGTTCGGGGCAGGTTTGCGCACGCACGGTGAAACCACTGCGTTCCAGCAGCCTGGCAGGAACAAAGTGCCCTTCCCTTCCCTGAGAGCAGAGCTCTTTCTGCTGCAGCATTTGCAAGTCGTTCGTGTCACCAGCAAAACTTTCTCCGCTTCGTTCAGGGGGCTCCTCCCTGCCTTTGGGAATGGGGTATGGACGTTGCATTACCTGGTCATTGTGGCTTGCAATCCAGTTTGGCCAGTAGTCACCCACGATAAGAGCAAGGGGACCTTGTTCTCATAGAGTGCTGTACCTCACAGAGTCTCAGACTGATTTATGTACCACTGCCCCCATTACACCTATAGCGGAGTTGTTTCCATTATGGGTGGTGGGTCTCAGTGCAGTCTGTATAGGCCAGAGAAGCTAATCACTGTGGCACTATTTAGTGCAAGCAGTTAGTCAGGGTCTGGACTGATGGGGCATGGTACTGAGCTACAAAGACAAGCATCGGGAGTGTTGGGTGTAGCCCTATTGGTCTAAGGACATAGGCAGACAAGGTTCTTTGGGTAAAAACAGTATCTTTTATTAGACCAACTAAAATAGATGGAAAAATTATTTGCAAGCTTTCAGGTACAAACATCCTTCTTCAGACAGAAGGAGCGTCAGGGCGTTTGTAACCAAAAGCTTGCAAAGAAGAATTGTTCCAACTGTTTTAGCTGGTCTAATAAAAGATGCCAGATTTACCCAAAGGACCTTGTCTGCCAAAGACAAGCGTCTGCTTTTCAGCATTTGTACAGCTTCATCCTAACTTCTGGGATGTGGCGAGCCCTGTAGACACTGACGCTGGGACAGCTGCACCTGTCCTGAAAACTGAGTTCTGCGCTTACTGGGATAAATCCTGCCCCATAGGTGTTGTCTCAAGATCCAGCTGTAGAGCGAGTGTGGGCAGCGGCCCTGCAGAAAGGGTCAGAGACCCAAGCCCCTTACCGTGCTTGTCCCGTGAGTGAACTCGGGTCCCGGTGCAGTCCTATTTCTGTACAGGACCAAAAGAAACACGATGCCTTTCTCTTTTGGAAGCTTGTCAAGCTTTCTCAGGTATGTGTGTGCTTGAAACCAGAGTGAACTCAGCCCCAGGGTCACGCAATATCTTTGGAGGTAGACTGGAAACTTCTGATCTGCATTAGGGGCAAGTTGGGCATTGAGGAAAGCAGGTTGACAGATGGCGTTCTTTAGGAGAGACTCGGGGGCTTGCCTGAGAAAATCTGCTGTGCTTCCGTGGGGCTTCAGTTCAGCAATCGCTGCGAAGTACAAGAACCTCATTCTCTGGGCTATCTTGGCATGAAGTCACTGGGACTCGAGCAGTTCAACTGGGCACCATTATGTAGGTGGCAGACTCCTACATTGACAGCAAAGAGGACGTCGAGACAGCTGGATTGGAAGAGTGATGAGGACGGCAGCAGTGGGTCCCCTCCAGCAGCAGTGACACAGAATGAACTAGTTTCAGACCCGGTACTTGGGAACCAGACTAAGAGATAAGGGTTTGAGGGAGCAATGCTTTGTGGACAGAGCGCCATTCCCTTTGAGCGTATATTGTAATGGGTGTGTGGGGTTTCCTCTGTTGGGTTAAGGAGGTAATGAACAGTGACTAGAAGGTATAAATATACATAAAACGTTTATATGTATTTTAACAACCCCCCCCCCAAAAAAAACAAAACAACTTCTAGCTCTCTGAAAGCCAGTGGGGTACGCCAAGGACAAGCCACAGGAGGGGTGCGCAGCTCACCGGGCACTGTCCCAAGACGACTGGAATCGAGCACTAAGCTGCATCCACTTCACCGCAGTAACACACCTCATGCCAGTATTCAGCCTCATTGATCTCACATGGCAAATCACAGACCAGTTAAGAGGACAGGAGTGAGAACAATTCTTGGCATAGTGAGGGCATAAAAAAAAGCAGCATGGGAAGTCTCTGCGGTGAGTACGGTGTAGATTGCAGGGTATACGTCCTCCAAGGTGTCGAGAAGAGTGCGCCAAAATAAGCATCCCTGAAGATTGCACATTGCTAGCACAAGGGGACTGGATGGTAGTATTCATGGCATGGGATCTGTGATATTCACTTCTGCTGGGTGACCTGACACCACTTACCCCTTTGAAAGACTATCTTGGGGACCCTGACTGCAGCTGTCTTCTGAGTCTTGGCTGTTGGCTGAATTCCCAAAACCCTCAAAGAAAAAAAAAATCCTTGCTTGTCTCTCTGGATATGTTTATCTCTGAAGTACTAAATTTAGCCTGGAGGCTTTTGAAGTATGCAGCTCTTGGCCTGCAAATAGCAAGCCAGGAGTTTTTAAAAGACAGCAGCCGGCGCTCTTGAGGTGGACTGGCAGGTCAGAGAAGGTTGGGGCATTTCAGCATTCACCAGCTCCACCACACTACCAAGGCCCAAGCAAAGGTCCTGAATGCCCTGGCTTCATCACGTCCAACTGAGCGGTCTCTAATCCTAAAGTTCAACAATTCTGTCTGTTCCACAAAACCTCGTTGCTTTAAGTTCATAACCCTTGAAACTGGATAACTCTGAAGAGGGAGGGGGCAGAAGGCAGAGGTGCCCTCTTATTTATCACAATCAATACAAATTGTCCGTTTACTTAGGACCTGATGAAGAAAAGATGGTTCAGGTTGCTGAGCGTAGCTTAGCTCAAAGCCTCAATAATGTTTAGTTGCCACAACGGAGAAGAAAAGTTTCTTTTCACTTACTAAACTTGCCTGTTATCCCCTGGCAGGTTAACCAGTTGTGTATAATGTGAATGAGGTCTCTTAATATACGGTTGAGAGAGTTTGTTCTCCTTTATTCAAAAATTCTTGGCTCCAAACATGTCTTCATTTATAAAATTACTTCAAACCTCCGATCTCTACTCAAGGGCAGGTAGGACAGGGTGGCACCTTAGAAATACAACAGTCATTTAGAAAGGCCAGGCTGATGAAGTACCGGTGAATTTGAATTACTCTTGATGTGAGAGAGAGGAGACTCCTACAGAAGAGCGATCCTATGTTTTGTTCTCAAACCCCTTATAAAAGTGTCATGCTGAAAACCCTAAATAGACGTGTAAGTCCCTGATTTATCTATGCAACAAATACACCACAGAAAGCAACTAGCTAGCCTTGCTCACACAGTCTGCTGTGGTAGAGATCGAGTCACATTTGCACTTGATCAAGGTAGGTAGAATACTGTTGTCATCAATGTCCCTTTATTTTGTAGCACGCGCTGGAGATTTTCCAGGAAGGCCAGAAAAGCCTTAAAAATGTCCAAGCAGGTGCTAACCCCAACCCCACCCCCGCAAAACAAATCTTTTTAGGGTCCTTCGGTACCTTCAGTCTATAATTATAAGAGCACGTTTGAGTAAACTACAAAAAATCAGTAAAATAGTATAATTTGATAGCTTTTATTTTATAAAAAGACTGAAAAGCAGGGTTTTTTTGTTCTATTGTTACATCACTGCTTAGGTTTCTGAAGAGAAGATTCTTGTGCTTAATATTTAAAAAATGATAAATAGATTTGTAGCACTAAGAAATCGATTTTTCTTAGATAAATTATCTGAAATTAAATGAAAAAACATTATTTCCATTGCACGTTAAGATTACTGCTACAGCACCTATACAGCATTTAACATGTTCAGAGCTTTGCACATCTGCTAAATAATGAGCCCCGAGACTCATACCATTGGCATTTTATCTCATCCCACCCCTGGAACTATGTTACAAACATGAATATGGTAGATAGTGATATTAAGGAAGTCACTGACTGATTGGAATATACTGAAAAAGAGTCTTTTTTACCATTAGGTCCTAGCTGAAGGCTGTTCTTCTGCAGGGTACAAATGTAAATATGCTTTGGCAGTCTTTCATATATGTTTTGTGCTATCCTTTTTTTTTTCTTCTTTTTTTCTTACTCCACATCTCCATACTGCACACTAAAGGCGTGGAACAAAAGCAAATCAGTCGTGCTGGCAGAGTGATCCAGAGAAGACCTGGACATGATCTCGTTAAACTAAAAACCACTTTGTTCTCAATGATGCCATTTGTCGCAGCTCGTTGGAAGCGGGGAACTGGAACATGCATCTCCCCATAATGTTTTCATTAAGCATGGGTACAGGGCGGTGGTTTGAGTTTATATAGAAATGGAGGGCTGATTTTTCTCATGGCAAGATGAACTGGGAGGACTAAAAAGTGTGTCTTTAATCTGTGCCACTACTGGCTGGAATTTTAAGCTTTTATTCTGAGAGAGACCGATTTTGCTCCCCTTTTTGCTCCCCTGTCCTAGAGCAGGGCTCCACTGCATTAGCGTGTTTTTTTATAAGCCCACTTACGACTTCAGTGGAGAAAGGCATTGTACAGTGAGAGTAAAGGGGCTCTGAATACGGCCCAAAATTACACTTTCCACTGCAGCAAATCTGTGGCAAAATAAGGGCCTGCAAATGCTGCAAAGCCAATGTTGTCCTGGATATGGCAAAATTTGGGGGCATGGCTCAATGTAGTGTTTCCTTCTGGCTAAACGGGCCTTTATTTTGCACATGCAGCTTTTGTTGAAGTCAATGAGGCATTGGACCTTTTTGCTTTTGCCAGGACAACTTAAACACAAGAGAAATGCTCAACTGGAACTTACAACACAGTGTTTCTCAAATACCATTTTTACATTGAAATCCATCCCAGCATGTGTGAGTGTGTTCATTTTTTTTTTCCAAGCAGGGGGAGTGTGGTCTCATGCATTTAATACAATGCCTAAAGATTTTCCAGGCTCGGGGGCATTCTCCCCATACGTGCTTTTTGACAGCTTATAATAGCTTTAAAGATGAAAGAGGGAAGTTGAGGAAGGCTTTCACTTTTAAATTAAAACCAGCATTTGGAAATCCAGGCGTGACTGTTTTGGTAACTGCAGAATATTTCTTCTCATTTCATTATGGGCATTCCCCTTTTGATTTACTTTAGCTCCACTCTCTGTTGCATTTAGATAATAGCATTTTTGCTTTTTGTTAGGCGCTGGCACACTGCTTGCGTATTTGGC